CTTATGCCTAGCTTCCACCACGCAGCTGAAAGGCTCCGGAGCCAGCTTGTGGTAGATCCAGCGCTATGCCCACCACCATCCTTCCCTCTTCAGAGCCAGCCCTCTTCCTTCTACACTGCCACAGCTGCCAGAAATGCCAAGAATTTATTTTTAATAGTTATCAAATAATGTACAAATTTTTATAAAGATAAGAACTTATTTTGCTGGGAGATTGCTCATATATTCTTTATGCAGAAGCTACTAAGGGATAATGAGTGAAGGATGATTGTGTTTTAATTTTCACATGTGGCAAAGTATATATAACAATAAATTTTAGGTACACAGTTCAGTAACATTAAGCATGTTTCTGTTAATTGTGTATCCAGTCTGCAGAGTTTGTGCATCTAAGACAACTCCTACCTGCTTGCACTTGGCCCCTGCCAGCCACTTCTCTATAGACTGTTTTAATTACTTTGCAAAGATAGACTAGAGGGCCAGGGCTCAGCAGGTGAAAGCCCTTGCCATGTAAATTCATCTAAATTCAATCTCCAGAACTCAGGGGCTGGAGAGATGGCTCAGTGGTTAAGAGCATTGCCTGCTCTTCCAAAGGTCCTGAGTTCAATTCTCAGCAACTACTTGGTGGCTCTGTAATGAGGTCTGGTGCCCTCTTCTGGCTAGCTGTATACATACTAAATAAATAAATATATATTTTTAAAAAAATCTCCAGAACTCAGGGTAGTAGGACAGACGTGACCTCTACAGCAGGCTGTATCACCCTTCCCCACCATGCGCATATAAGCATAAATAAAGCCCAATGGAGACATACAGTATTTGTCTTTGTGGGGAGCTTGTTTGACTGAGTAAAGAATCTTCATGTTTCACATAGTGTAGTGTGTGTTCATGTTTCAATAAACCAAAACAATATAGTTTCAAATAGAGTACAACAAAATACAGTAGATGGTACAGAGGTTTCCTACATGTCTCCTATGCTTAATACATTGCCTACCCCCTCTGTCAGCATCCTATAGGATGGCAGTACTCATGAATATGTGTTGACATGTCGTTATCACCCAGAGTCTATATTATCTTATGGTTCGTTCTATGAATTTGAACAGATGCATAGTGACATGCATCAGTTTAGTGAAAATCAACTCTGCTCTGCCTGTTTATCCCCCCCGCCGCTACCTCTACCCCCAGTACTCCTCTTACTGACTACATAATCTTGCCTTTTCTAGAAGGTCCTATAGTTTGTACTCATACAGTGTATAACCTTTTAGACTGACTTTCGCCTAGTGATATCCGTGTAAGGGTTTTTTTTTTTTTTTTTTCATGTCTTGGGAACTCACCCCCACCACTGCTTCTTGACAGGTTCCTTCTGTATAGCTCTGGCTCATCTGGAATTTGATATGTAGACCAGGTTGGCCTGTCTTGTGACACTTCTATCTCTGTCTCCTGAGTGCCAAGATTATAGATATGTGCCACCATGCCTAGCTCAATGGCCTATTTCTTTCTAGTGCTGAACAATATTTCATTGTCCAGATGAACTAAACTTTTGTATCCAGTCACTTACTGAAGGACATCTGGTGGTATTCAAGTTCTAGCTGCTGCAGACAAAGCTGGGGTAAACATTGTGTGTGAATTGCTGTGTAGATGTAGGTTGTCAGCTCCTTTGACTAAATACCAAGGAGTTAATTATGGGGTCATATGGGAGGAGTGTGTTTGCTCAGTTTTGGGATAAACTGCTAGACTGTCCTTAAAAGTGCCTACCAGCAATGAGTGAGAGTCCCTGTAGCAAACCATTGGCAGTTCACTGTTGCTTTGTGGAGGGTTTTTTTTCCTTTTTCTTTTTTTAAAAGTGATTTTATTGCTCGTGCACACAGAGAATTTGTGCCTCTAGAGCAGACTGTGGACAACTCATTTCCAATTGGGTGGGAGGACCCGCCTAGACTTAGAGTAATGAGGCAACTAGCAAATTCTTCTCTCTATTTCAGGCTGGCTGAATTTAACATCTTTATCCTTCCTGTTCCTCTCAGGATGCTTTCAGACAGTGACCACTTTCTTAATCAAATGCTAGCGATCCTTAGGGAGATCAGGGGCAAGGCCTTTGGACTTTTAAGTTTCTCAAGATCTTATTATCAGTCACAAAACGGACCTATGCCACTCCATGTGAGTCCCTCAGGATCATGCCTATTTAGGAGGAAGTCAGGCCTTTCTTGGCCAGTTTGTAAATCTGTTCCTTCAGATGTCAACTTCAGCCGGGTGGGGACGCTAAGGCTGTAGGGCAGAGCCGATTGGGACAATCTCTTCCTGGCAGCAGGCATGCAACCATGATTGCAGAGGTCTGGCAGTGAGAGAACGAGGGAGCTGTTGCGGAGTTTTACCCATGCAACAGGTATATAGTAGTGTATTACTGTGGTTTATTGTGCAATGCCATAGGGACATGATAGTCAACACTTTTATATATGCTTGTTCACCGTACCCTCCTGGTGAGGCAGTGTTTTGTCCATTTTAAAAATGAGTTAGTTATATTCTTAATGTTGAGTTTTAGTTATTTTTAAAATTTTGAATAACAACCCTTTATCTTTTGGTAAATGCTTTTCCCTGTTTGGGACTTAGTTTCTTGACAGTGTGTTACTATTATATGACCTTTTGTGGGGAGATGTAAACAAATGTCTATTGACTTCAGGTAGGGCAACAGCAACAAACCAGAGACATGATTCTACCCAAGCAAGTCTAGCTTGGTGAACCAGTGAGTTTCTTGGGGTCACTGCAGGAGTCTGGGTGAGGATTTGCACACAACAGGCACCTAAAAGGTCACTGCAGCACTGAAGCCCACACGGTGTGGATGATGGGTCATGGAAGCTGCACCTCTGGAAGCCCTAGCTCACCTTGCGGTGGTTCCATTGAAGAAATCCCTCTTCCTCAGCAATTGTGACTACTCAGATGACCTCAGGGGGGGCTTGTGGGTCCTATAACTTTCTGAGCCTCCTTGACTCTTGTAAGTTTCCTGAACTTAAGCTGCTGCAGTTTGATTAGCCTAGGAGTATCCCTGCTCCTTCAGGAGGGAAAGTTTTGATCCAGAAGAAATAGCTACTCAATACTTAATATGTTCAAAGAGCAAAAGATTTGTTGTTTGTTTGTTTTGTTTTGTTTTTTTAAGACAGGGTTTCTCTGAAGCTTTTGGAGCTTGTCCTGGAACTAGTTCTTGTAGAGTAGGCTAGCCTCGAACTCACAGAGATCCACCTGCCTCTGCCTTCCAAGTGCTGGGATTAAAGGCGTGCACCATCACCGCCCAGTTTTATTTGTTTTTTAATTGTGTGTGTGTGTGGGGGGGGGGTTGTCTGCCTGTGTGTTGTGTAGTATTTTCAGAGGCCACAAGAGGGATTCAGATCCCCTGTAACTATAACTACAGACAGTTAGCCTGTAACTAGTTGTGGGTACCTGAAGCTGAAACTGAATCCTCTGGAAGAGTCTCTAGTGCCCTTAACCACTGAGCCATTTTTTCAACCCCGAATAAAAGTTTTTATCTGGATAAAGTATGAATTGGAGGCCAGCCTGGTCTACATAGTAAATCAGGGCTCCAGAGTGAGACCATGTCTCAAAAAAAAAAAAAAAAATAATAATGTTGAATTTAGAGACCAGTTTTTTTGTTTTTTTTTTTGTTTTTTTTTTTTGGTTTTGTTTGTTTTTGAGATAGAGTCTCTCACTGTAGTCCTTACTGTTCTAGAAATAGCTATGTAGACCAGGCTGACCTCGAACTCACAGAGAGAGGCCTGCCTCTGCCTCCCAAGCACTGGGATTAAAGGCGTGTACCACCATGCCTAGCTGTATTATATCTTTCTATCAATGGGCATGCAGTAGCTCTTTATGTATTCAGTCCTTTGGTTTCTTCACGAGAGTTGGGTAATTTTCCTCATACAGATTTTTTAAAGAATGGAAGTAAGTTCAGGAGATTTATTGTATAACATGGTGACTATAGTTTATGACTGAAGTTAAATGCTTTCATTTCCAAAATGATACTGTATGAGGTAATGCATATTTTAGTTGACTAGATTTTACCATTCTGCAATGTGTATGTACTTTCAAATATCATGCTGTGCATGATAAATATATACAGTTTTTATATGTCTATTTGAAATAAAAATAAACATTTGAAAAGAATTTGCAATGTCTCCTGTTTATTGCAGGGGATATGTTCCCTGACCTCCAGCAGGCAGCTGAAACTGGATAGTGCTAAACCTGAAACTAAGTAGTAACATTTTTAGTTCCCTCCCTCTGCCTTTGTGTAGCTCCTATACATATTTTGTTGTATTTATACCTTGATATTTCACTTTTAGGGGGCATTTGTAGAAATGAAATTAAGTGTACTTCCGAGTTCTTGTTCATTGTCGATGTGTAAGAAAACATTGGTTTCTGTGTCCACCCTTATCTCAGAACCCACTCACTGTTAGTCCAGGAGTCTGTGGTTGATGACCTCACGTGGATGGATGGTTCTGCCATGCAGATAGTAGTTTTTCCTTCCCAGAGATCCCGTCCTGCCTTTTCTTCCTCTTTGCTCCTTCCTCTCTCTCCCCTTCCCTTCCCTCTTTTCTTTTTTTCCTTATTTCTTTTATCTTTTCTGTCTTTCTTGTCATAATGTTGAAAAGATGTAGTGAGAGAAGACATCCTTGTCTTCTGATTTTTATGGGAAAGCTTCCGGTTTTTCCTCTCTTTAAGTATAATGGGCATAGACATTCTTTTTTTTTTTTTTTTTTTTTTTTTAAAGATTTATTTAGTATATACACAACATTTGGCCTCCATATATACCTGTAGGCCAGAAGAGGGCACCAGATATCATTACAGATGGTTATGAACCACCATGTGGTTGCTGGGAATTGAACTCAGGACCTCTGGAAGAACAGTCAGTGCTCTTAACCTCTGAGCCATCTCTCCAGCCCCGGGCATAGACATTCTTATAGATGTTTTTTATCAAGTCCAGAAATTCCCTTTATTTCTAATTTGCAGTTTTTTTCCTTTTTAAGGTGGAATACTATGTGATTTGAGTGTACCACGCTTTGTTTCCCATCCACCCACTGATGGACACTTGGGTAGCTCCCATCTTTCGGCTGTTGTGAATGATGCTCCTATGAACATGGGTGTGCACATAGCTCTGTGAGACCCTGCTTTCAGTTTTTCTGGGTAAGTACCAGAAATTGGGTTACCCAATTACATAATAGTTCTAATTAAAAAACATTTTAGGAACCAGTACATAGAATTTCATATATAAGCATGTTCACTGCACTAACGTTTATATCAGCAAAACTCTGAAAGGAATCTTGCTCCATCAGCATAGCTATAGAATAAGTATTCTGTAGCTATTTTAAACGAGCAGGGTAGGTTTGTGTGTTTCAATATGTCAAAATGGCTAGGCATATTAAAATGAGAAAAACGTTATGTCATTGTAAACCTGTTTTAAATCTGTACATGTTTGCTTCATTTTTTTCGAACGAATTATGTGCTTGTGGAGAAAGGGAGGAGAGAGACTGATAGGAGAGTCAGCTTTTACCATAAGGCACTGTACCATTTCAGGGCTTACAAGGAACACAGTTTTGTAATTATACAACCAAATTGAATTATTGTATGGGGGAGGCTGTTCCCATTTGTCTTTGAAATACAAAGATAATTCTGTTTTGCTTATTAAGTATTTTTATATCACAATAACAAATGCTGGTTACTGGCTATTAAATGTTTTTATTGTTAGACACATATCAAAGATTTTTAATGTTTTGTGACTTGACTCATGTATGTATGTTTCTATATAATAGCGAATTTCTGTCAAAATGATTTCATATAGTATGTAGTTTCTGTCCTTACTCAGTGAGACATTCTCATCTTGCTTCTTCTGTGTCTGGCTGGTGACTGCAGACTGAGCCTTTCCTCTTCCCAGAATTCTCTGAGTCTGGTCACTCTGCTTATACTTACTGCCTGGCCAATCAGCATTTTATTAAACCAATACAAGTGTCAAATTTTTACAGGGTATAAGGACATTATCCCACAGTACCCCCCCCCCCCCTTTTTCTTTTCACAAGAACTCTGAATCTAATCTCCTTTGTTTAGCTTTTTTCCTGACCATTATCCATAATAACTTGTAACCAACACTCTAAACTAAGACAAACATCCATAATCCATTTTTTGGGAATGTGGACGTAGTTTTCTAGACTGTTTCCTGCTGATTGGGGATGCTGATAATCTTATGGCGAACCAAAGAAAATTTAGGATTGTGGTCAAATCCTGACTGGAATATTCTTTGAGGCTGGATCCATCTCAGCTAAGACAAATAATAACACAGTATCCAGACTCTGTGTGTATTTTCCATCATTATGTGGCTTTTTAATATTTTTTACTATTTCTTTTATTTTTAATTTTTGTTTTTGTTTTTGTTTTTTGAGACAGGGTTTCTCTGTAGTTTTTTAGCCAGTACTAGAACTCACTCTGTAGACCAGGCTGACCTCAAACTTACAAAGACCCACCTGCCTCTCTCTGACTCCCCCAGTGCTGGGATTAAAGGTGTGTGCCACCAAACAAACACCTGGTTTATATTTCTTCCCTTTTTGAAAAGGACGTTCTTTATCCTTTTCTTTTCTCTCCCAAGCCTACGTATATTTTTTAAGCACACTGTAACTGTTTAGAGGTTTTCTTCTCTTTTTTCCCCTCTGAATCTGTCTTTACTATGTATCTCCATCTTTTCTGACCGCATGAGTCTTTAGTCTGCTAAGCAACATTACTAGGATTAAAGCTGCTTTCAGGGCTGGATCTGCCCCACCTTGGCTTCCTGGGAAGCTCATGGCGGAGGTGCTGGTGGGAGCCATTTTTATTTTTATTTTTTTTAAACCACAGCTCTGTGCAGTTTCTAGGCCCATGCTACCACCAAGAAGCATGCCACCAGCTCTCATGGACGGCATTTAAGTGTTTGGTGGCAGGGCCTCTTAAAAGAACTACATGGTTTTTGCTGCTAACGCTGAGTCAGGAAACCTGTCTTAAAGGAACTGTGCCTCTGCTCACCTCTAGCAAGCAGCCCACCTGAGGCAGTGCTACTACCGAGAAGCGGCTTGACTTTGTTCTTTTGTCTGTCTCAAATCCTTTCTCAGGCTTTATGTGGAAATTCTTGCCAAATGTTTGGGTGCCATTTGTAGACGGAAGTTTCTGTCCTTATTCACTGAGACATTCTCATCTTGCTTCCTCAGTGTCTGGCTGGAGACTGCAGACTGAGCCTTTCCTCTTCCCAGAATTCTCTTAGTCTGGTCGCTCTACCTATACTTCCTATCTGGCTATTGGCCATTCAGCATTTTATTAAACCACTATGAGTGACAAATCTTCACAGGGTCTAGAGCATTGTCCCACAGCAATAATATTCTGCTATTTTATGCCATTTGAATTTCCCACACCTTGCTGTGGTCAAGGAAGGAATAAAATTAAAGGTTTGTAAAGAGTTTCTGCTCCTAAAAAGACTTAGTTTAAGCATTCTGTTACATTGTACACTGAATCGCCTCCTCTTCTTCTTCCTCCTCCTCCTCCTCCTCCTCCTCCTCCTCCTCCTCCTCCTCCTCCTCTTCTTTTCTAGCAGTAGATCTTCATGGAGGACCACGGAGTGACCCAAACTGAACACATGGCTACCATAGAAGCCCATGCAGTGGCTCAGCAAGTCCAGCAGGTCCATGTAGCCACATACACCGAGCACAGCATGCTCAGTGCTGATGAAGACTCTCCGTCCTCCCCTGAGGACACTTCTTATGATGATTCGGATATCCTCAACTCCACGGCAGCGGATGAGGTAACTGCACACCTGGCCGCCGCAGGTAATGTTTGCCCTGGAAGCTCCTCTTTCCCGACTTGTGGCCACGCCTGTCTGAAGGGCCTGGGATTCAAGCACGCTCACATTTCTTTTCATCATTTTTTTTTTTTCAGTGCTGGGGATCAAACCCAGGGCCTCGCATATACTAGGCAAGTACTCTACCACTGAGCTACATCCCAAGCCCTTCACCATACATTTTAAACCTGCATCTCCAACTTTAGCCTGTTCCGGGAGAGTTGAGTTCTGGGGTCACTTCTTGCTAGTGTGGTAGCGTTGGCTGTCTTTTCTCATCCTTCTGACAGTCTTCTGGGTTTTAGCTGAAGTATTTATTCACATTAAATACAAGGACTGGCATATTTAGATTTTAATATTCTTAAGGTTAAGAAAAAAATTTTCTAGTATTGTCTTTCTAGTATTGTCCCTTTATGCTGGGGATAAACCCCAAGCTTTTGCATACTAGACAAAAGTCCTATCTTGAGCAGTGTATCTCAGTCCTAGACTTTCTAATGAAACTCAGACATGTACTTGAGTTTCCAGTTTGTGTGAAAATTTATTACTATTGTGTTTAGGTTTCCACAATAATCTGATTTTACAGATCATGTGGGAATTCTTTCTAAGGGATCTGTTGCTGGCTGTTCTTAGTGATAGGTCTTATTTATGCTGGCTCCTTGCTTCATATGCTACTTATATGTGAATGAATGTTATGTGATGTGTTTTGAAATGGGGGGGGGGTCTTTGAGACAGGATTTCTCTGTAGCTATGGCACCTGTTCTGGAACTCTCACTGTAGACTATGCTGGCCTTGAACTCACAGGGATTCGCCTGCCTCTGTCTCCCGATAGCTGGGATTAAAGGTGTATGCCTCCACCACGCGACATTTTGAAATCATTTTAAAAAATAATTTGGGGTCTAAAATACTGTGCTGGACATGGTTTCTGTTTGATTCTGCTAGATAGGACCAAGACCACTAGTGACCTTGTCACAGTCCAGCTTGTGGATTGAAGTTTTCCAGAATACCAAGTGATTTAAAACTAGCTGTGTCTTGTATAGTTCTGTGTACAGTGTGTGTATTATGGTGAGGACACTCATATCAATCATACGTGGGTTTTATTTAGGAAAAGCAGGACAGGGAACCAATTATCAGGAATGGCCAATATAGCTGTATTTAAAGTGAGGAAGAAAAGTATAATAATCTCATACTATAATTTATTATGCACTGTGTTATTTCTGGAAAGGTGAATTTTTTTCCCCTGAGGCGGGGCTTCTCTGTAGCTTTAGAACCTGTCCTGTAGACCAGGCTGGTCTCACACAGAGATCCACCTGCCTTTGCCTCCTGAGTGCTGGGATTAAAGGTATGTGCCATCCCCACCCAGCAAAAGGTGACCTTAAAAAGGGGCTAGGGTACAGCTCAGTGGTAGAGCACTTGCCTAGCTAGCATGTGCAAGGCACTGGGTTTAAGTGTTTATAACATATATTTTGTGAAATGTTTAGACTTCCCAGAAGAGGGCATCCTAATACAATGAACCAAGCCCAACTTGGTTCCTGTGAGGGCAGATGCTTTTGAGAAAAGGCCTTGCTGTGCCATCCTGCACTGTCATAGTGTGGGAATGATGCGAGGGTGGCAGAGAGTGGTTCAGGGCTTGAGCAGTCGCCTAGCGTGTGTGACACCCTGCGTTCAGCTTCCAGCATGACTAAAGAAAAGATTAGAAGTGACTAGGTATAATTGCCTGTGTCTGGAGTCCTTACTACTCAGGAGGTTGAGGCAGGAGGAACACTTGAGCTCAGGTGCTCAAGACCAACCTAGATAATCACAATGAGACCTTGTTTTAAAAACAAACAACACACAAAACAAAAGAACAGGAAAGGACTAAAGTTTTTCATCTGTCTAGTGTGTAAACAGAGGCCCTTCAAATTTCTAATGAGTAGCTACTAAGGAATTGTGATTATATAGACTACAAGGTATAGATTCTTTGACTAAGACCTTACTTCTGAAGATACTGTCAGACCACTAGTGGCAGGTTATTGGTGTAGGGAAGTGCCAAGAAGAGGGTACTTCAGACTGAGGAAGTTTCAAAGGCAGGGACTTTCAGATGAAAAATGGGAAGGAGGCCATTGTGGCTACTCTTTGTGGGCAGGAAGAGAAACTAATCAAGAGGGCTGGCATGAGTCAAACCATGCGGGGCTTCTGCAGTGTGGAGTTTGCACAAGCAGCGGGGTGTAGAGGCACACACACCTGTAATCACAGTAAGCAAAGGAGAATTTGCAGAGGTGACAGAGTGCCTTATTAACTGCCCAGGTTTATGATCGATCCTAACTTGTCGCACACTAGAGAATTCTTTCTGAGGGCTGGACTGTAGCGTCATCATATCTAAAAGGCAACTCAGAAAAGTCAAATGGCCATTTGTGTCATGTTGCCTGTCAGAAACTGTTTCTGATTCTCTTCAACCCAGAACAAGAGCTCTTGATCATGTTGCTTTTCAGGAAATGAAAAAAAAGTTAAGAAGGGCCTAGGGAGATGGCTCCGTCAGCAAAGTGCTTGCCATGCAAGCATGAGAAGCTGAGTTTGACCTCCAGGACCCAGTTAAGAAGCTGGTGTGGTGGCCTGCATTTATAATCCCAGTACAGAAAGGCCCCTGGGGCCTGCTGGCCAGGTAGCCTAGTCCAGTTGCTACTCTTCCACATATGAGGAACACACATGTGTACACTGTGATCGGACATATACATGCACAGTTTCCAGTATCAGTTTCAGAGGACTTCATATTCTGTTTTTTTAGATTTATGCATGTTTTGCTGCATGTATGTATGTGTACCATATGTGCCTGGAGCCTACAAAAGTTAGAAGATGCTGTTGGAGCCCCTGGACCTAGGGTTAGAGATGGTTGTGAGCCGCCATGGGGTACTGGAGACAATGGTAGACCCTCTGGAAGAGTAATAAGTGCTCTTAATTGCTGAGCCATCTCTCACCCACCCCCAGGGAACTTCATTTTAATCAAAATTGAATTATTGCCGGGCAGTGGTGGCCCAGCATTCGGGAGGCAGAGGCAGGCGGATCTCTGTGAATTCGAGACCAGCCTGGTCTACAAGAGCTAGTTCCAGGACAGGCTCCAAAACCACAGAGAAACCCTGTCTCGAAAAAACAAAACAAAACAAAAAAAATTGAATTGTTTTCTCTAAGGCAGTTGGTATGGATAGAAGCAGAAAGAGTCACATGATCTGTAGATATAATTGCTACCTTAAGAATAGAGTTTGATGAATTGTCTGTAGAATATAAAATCTCAAATCTTGGACAATAACCCAACACTGGAATATAGGAAAGAATCATGGTAAAAGCAAACATGCTGTTGCCCACCTTTGTCAGGCATTGCTACAGTTTTAACGTGTTCACTTCGGGCTTTTTGGCTTTTTGAGATAGGGTTTCTCTGTGTGACAGTCCTAGCTGTCCTCTCTGTAGACCAGGCTGGCCTCAAACACACAGAGATCTGCCCATCTCTGCCTTCCAAGTGCTGGGATTAAAGGCATGCACCACCACCACCCAGCTCACTTCTGGCTTTTAAAAGACTATGTCGGTGTGTGTTATGCATGCCACAGTGCATGTGTAGAGAACTGTTGGAATCAAATCTCCTTCTACCATTTGGGTCCTAGAGATGGAATTCTGTTTGTTGAACTTGGCAGTAATCATCTTTACCCACTCAGCCCTCTTACTGGGTCCTCAGATTGGTTTTTTGTTTTGTTTTGTTGTTGATGTTGTTTGGTTTTGTTTTTTCCAGACAAAGTTTCTTTGTAGTCCTGGTGTCCTGGAATTCAGAGAGCTGCCTCTCTGTTTCCCCCAGATACTAGGATTAAAGGCGTGTGCCACCATGCCCGGATGGCTTATTTAGGAGTAAGCATTATGGATGCAGTTGAAACTTCTGGCGCCCTCCCAACCCATTTGTTTGAGACAGTGTTTTGCCGTCTAACCCGGGATGGTCCCCTTGCCTCAGCTTCTAAATACTGGGGTTAGAGGTGTGCAGAATCATGTCCTGCTAGTGTACCTCCTCTTAACCTTGTTCTCCTTCCTTCTGCCAAGGTCACAACTATTCTGCATGTCATCTTTATTCTCTTGACTTTACACTTTTGCTATATGTGCATGTATCATTAAATAATAGTTGGCATTGTTTTGCCTGCTTTAAATTTTATATTCATAAAAAAATAAAATAAATTTTATATTCATGATACTACTTTGAACTTTTGTTTCTGTTTAGCATTTTATGTTTAACATTAATTTTCTATAAAATTTTTTTAAAAACTTTTTAAAGCTAGGAATGGTGAAAGGCAGAGGCAGGCAGATCTCTGAGTTCCAGGTCAGCCTGATCTTCATAGTGAGTTCCAAGCCATCCAGGACTACATGATGAGATCCTTTCTCAAAACTGTATAAACACACAAAAAGTTCATTGTTGCATATGTGTAGTGGCTTCTACATGGGCTCCAGGGAGCCAAACCTAAGTCATGCTTGTAGGGCACGTGACTTCACTTGCTGAGCCAAATCCCTAGCACTCCTTTTAAGAGAGATACTGTGTATGTGTGTGTAGGCCAGAGGCACAGGAGTTGGTGAAAACGTGACTGCCATGACATACACAGAGTTCAGAGAACAAACCGGAACTGAACTGGTGCTTTCCTTCTACCTTTACATGGGCTCCAGAGATGAGCACCTCTATCCACCCTACCCACTGAGCCTTCTGGCTGTCTTAGACCAGACTGGCCTCGACCTGCCTGTTTCTGCCTCCCAAATGCTGGGATTAAAGATCTGCACTACTACTGCCCGCTGGGCTTTTTCTTTTTTTAATTATTAACATATATATCCATTGTACAAATTGATGAGTTTCATAATGACATTTAGTATTTTTATGAGATTTGGTTATATTGATAATGTATCAGTTATGTGCGCTTGTCTATCCAGGAGTTGTCCCTCACTTTAATAACTCAAGCTTTATAGTAATATGTGATAGAATCAGTACCTGTTTAGTATCTTCTAAATTGTTTTGCCTACTCTTAGCCCTTGTATTTACATTTAAATAAGTGAATTAGTTTATCAACTTCTAAAAACACTCTCAGGAATTTATATTTGCATTTGTAATGGACCAAATCAAAGCCCCTCAGGCTTGCTGACTGAGGATTCAAGTTCAGTGAGAGGTGCTGTCCAGAAAGGTGGAGTGCACACCCACACTGCTCGTTCTCGCACACCTCAGAATAAGAGCAGACCATGGGGGCACACATCTTTAATTCCAGCACTCAGGAAGCAGAGGCAGCCGGATCTCTGAATTCAAGGCCAGCCTGGTCAACAGAGCTAGTTCCGGGACTGCAGGGCTACACAGAGAAACCCTTTTTCAAAACAAACAAACAAACAATAATTAATTAATTAAAAAAAAGAGTTCCAAACAGATGTTGGTGAATCTAGCTAATGACAAACCTGCTGAAGTATTTATGGTGTGTGTGTGTGTGTGTATAATTTTGCTTGTTGTTTATTTGGTTTAGCTTGATGTAATTTCGTTTTTTTTGAGATAGGGGTTCTCTGTGTAGCCCTGGCTGTCCTGGAACTCACAAGGATCTGCCTACCTCTGCCTCCTAAATGCTGGGATTAAAGATATGTGTCACCACTGCCTGACTTTAAGGGTATTAATATTGACATTTGCAATTTACTTTGAAATGCAAAAAAACATGGATTTACATGGTAATATAAAATAAAGCCACTATAGAAGAAATTTGGAGTTTCCTCCAAGAAGTTAAAAGATAGAAGAAGTAGGCCTCTGGCTCATGTGGCAGTTGTAAGTAAGCAAATGAACTGGATCCCAAAGAGATATTGATCGCTCTACACAGTGGCCAGTATGGGAAGACGACCCAGATGTCTCTCTGTGGATGAAAGGCCCGAGGAGATAAACACATCTAGTCATACCCTCAGCCTTCACAATGGGAAATCTCGCCGGACGTGACAACATGGGTCAACCTTAAAGAAGTACTAGCTAACAGAAGAACAGAATTGTATAATTCCACTCATGTGAGGGATTGAAATAGGCAAATTCATAGAAACAATACAATAGAATGGTTGCCAGGGCTGAGAGAAAGGAGATGTGAGAAGTTGCTCTTCTGGAGATATTTCTGGGCTGGAGATGGAGCTCAGTGTTAAAGCCACAAGTAGTAGAGCCAGAACGCTTGACTAGCCTGCACCAGAGCAGGAGTCAGGGGAACGGAATGCGGAAGGAGGGAGAGAAGGCGGGCCTGAAGGCAGACTAGGAGCGAAGAGAGCGGGGACCAGGCTTGAGCAGGAATTCAAGGTCATCCTCAGTCTGCAAGGACTCTAAGGTCACCTGTCCTGCAGGAAATTGTCTCTAAAATCTGAAAGGAGAGAGGGAGGGATGATTTCAGTATGTAAGATGATAAACTCTAGAAATCTATACATTGTGAGTGTAGTTAATAATACTGTTTTGCACACAGTTTTATTCAATGACAGATCTTCTATTAAAATATTGCCACGGTTTTACAATAAAATGGGGGGTGGGCACAATTTCCCCCTTACAGTTAGCTGGGTACAGTGGTAATGGAATGCCTGCAATTCCAGCACTTAGGGAGCTGAGGTAGGAGGGTCACTTGGGGTTCCAGACTAGTCTGGGTTACATAGTAAGACCCGGAAAAAGAAAGAAAATTCCCTACCATAGGTTTATAATAAAGCGAGCGGTCATCTGGCTTTTGCTTGCTCTGGGGTTGTTTAGAGAGTGCCATTTCATCAAGACTATGCTAGTACTGAGTAGCCTGCAGACAGAAGCCTGTCTAGATTTACAGAAAGGCTTACTGCAGTTCGCCCATTTAGAATACACATGCAAATTTAATTGTTAGCAGTTGAATTTTCATCTTTTATAGGGCGGACAAGAAAGGATAAAGGTGAAATTTTGTCTTTGATATGTTGAAACTCCTAGGTGTCTAGACTGCAATAGTGGTTCCTTAGAATTGCCCTTGGTTTATCCTGCACCCTCACCCTCACCCCAAGGCCTTTGTGCAGCAGGTGCAGAGCAGCTAGCCCAGCCTTTATTAACATTCTCTTGTTGGAGTAAAGAAGTGTTGTCTCCTTGGCCAGGATTCTTTGATCATCTGGACCTTATGGCTGCTGTCTTCATTCCCTGGCCCATTTTCCAGCTTAGTTAGTATTCTTTCAGATGGCCTGTATAGGTGGGAGTGTGCCTGTTCACTCGCAGTTCTCCCAGTTCCATAACTTGGCAGAGTCTTGGAGCAGTCGGAGGGAGCTAGAGATGCAGTTTCAGTGTAGACAGGCCTTTCTCTCAATGCTGCAGTATTTCCTGGTGCCTTTGAGAACACTGTCCTAATAGTGTGGGCATGCTGGCAAAATAAAGCAACAGCATTGTATAAAATTCAAGATGGTGTGTGGCAGGAAGGTATAAACCATTTTGCTTCTTAAAAGACTTATTGTAAATTTAAATGGTTCATGAGACAATATATTGAAGAACATTGATAATACAGAAACATTGTGTTTTCACCGAGTGTGTTGTTTTCTGTCTTGTGCCCTTGCAGGCTGCTGTCTAATCTCAGCACATACTTATTATTTCAGGTCCTGTGGGAATGGCTGCTGCTGCTGCTGTGGCAACCGGGAAGAAACGGAAACGTCCTCACGTGTTTGAGTCTAATCCGTCTATCCGGAAGAGACAGCAGACACGTTTGCTTCGGTGAGGGTTGTGCTACCTCATCTTGCTGTTCCTCACAGTCTTCCTGTGTGGATGGCAGGACAAGAACATTTTTTACTAGCTTCCTCGTTAGACTTAGAATCATTCCCATTAAATTAAATGGATGAAAATCTAGAAAATATGACGTAATGGATGTATAACATTGGCTAGCTATGGTGGCGCATGCCTTTAATCCCAGCGTTTGGGAGATAGAGGCAGTTGGATTTCTGTGAGTTCGAGGCCAGCCTGGCCTACATAGTAAGTTTCAGGTCAGGCAGAGCTACATAGTGAGACCTGTCTCAAAATAAGGAAGGAAAGAAGATGTCTAATGTCACATTAATCCATCCAGAGGAAGTTTGTGTGTCTGCTGCGTGCCAGGTAGAGAGTAACACTGAGCAACAAAGCCCGTTAAAGAATTTATATGAGGGAGAAAGAAAACAAACATACACTGTATTAAATCAGAGAGAGTGCTGTGGAGAGAAAAGAGCAAGTGTATCAGGAAGTCAAAGAACATAGTTGTTTCTCTATTCTGAGAATGCTCTGGGAAATCCTTTGGATGAGACAACCTTTGCACAGAGCTGGGAGGAACTAACAGAGTGACTATGTTTAAGTCCTAGGAAGAGCATTGCAGGCAGAGGGAGTATTAAGAGCCGATGTAGTTATTTTATTGTTTGTTTTTGGAGACAGGGTCTCAACTAAGTAGCTCTGGCTATCCTGAAACTCACTCTGTAGACCAAGGCTGTCCTTGAACTCAGAGATCCACCTGCCTCTGCCTTCGTGTATTAAATCCCTGCACTACCACACCCTGTCAAGGCAGTTATTTTTTAAAAGCTGCCAGGGAAAGTATGGGAGGAGTGATTAGAAGAATAAAGGAAAGTCCAGCCCATCAAGAGGTTGGCCAGCCTCTGTGGCTGTTCATGCTTACAGGTCCGAGGGCTGAGATTGGAGGATTGCCACAGATTCAAGGCATGGTTAGCACACACCTATAATCCTTGCACTCAAGAGACTGAGGTAGGCAGGTCATGATCTTTGAGCTAGCCTGGGCTACACTCCAAGTTCTTACCTCAAGAGAAAGTAGAGAAAGAACTGGAGGCAGTGACTATCAATCATTCATTTAAGAAATGATGCCTCTGTTTCTGTTTGGTATTGTGAAATGTAGGATCCCGAGTCACCGGATAATCCCTGTAAGATAGTGGAGAAGTGTGGTATTCTGTTCATTTTTTTGCTCCTACCCTGAATTCTCACTGTATCAGGGATTGTTTCTGTGACTGTAGTTATCTCAGATGGTCAACTATAGTCCAAAAATATTAAATGGAAGGTTCTAAAATAAATAATAAGTTTTAAATAATTTTACTAAACATTGTTATAATTTGAATATTTTTAAGATTTTAGTTTAATTATTTTATGTGTAAGAGTGTTTGCCTGTGTGTATGTTTGCCCAGTATAAGTGGCTGGTGCCCACAGGGATCAGAAGAGGGGTCTGTGTGCCTACATCGGTTTATGTGTGCTTTAGGAAGCCAGAGGCATTGAGTTCCCTGAAGCTGAAGTTACACATAGTTGTGAGGTACCTAACAGGTGTACTAGGATTCAAACTCAGGTCCTCTGAAAAAGCAGTAAGTACTCTTAACCACTGAGCCATCTCTAGCTTCTGTTACAGCTGTTTCTATGATTAGTTATTATTCATCTTTTACTGTTCTTAGCTTATAAATTAAACTTTATCATTGGTCTGTATGTACAGGATAAAAACACAATATGCAAAGGGTTTGATTCTATCTCAACTTACAGGTAGGTATCCAGTGGTATCTGCTTTGGAGCAGACCCCACAAATAGTGGGGAACTGCAGGGATTTTCATTTCATCCTCATGTGGAAAGCACTGTGGGTTTGTGTTCTAGTTTCTTTTCTGTAGCGGTAGTAAGTACTCTGATGACAAGCAATGGAGGGTCGCAGTTCATCAGTGAGGGAAGTCAGAGCAGGAACTTGTTGTAGAAACCAGAAATACTGCCAGCTTGCTTCCTTACAGGCTTTATAGGCTTTGTTTTGTATTGTTGGTATTTGTTTTTATTTTTATTGTTCTTTGCTATGTGGGAAGCCACCAAGTAGGCCAGGTTGGCCTTGAATTCACGAGGATGCCTGCCTTGGTTTCCCATGTCCTGGGATTAAAAGTGTGCACCACCACACCACTTGTACTTTAAGTGCTTTCTTTTTTTTTTTTTTTTTTTTTTTTTGGTTTTTCGAGATAGGGTTTCTCTGTAGCTTTGGAACCTGTCCTGGAACTAGCTCTAGACCAGACTGGCCTTGAACTCACAAAGATCCGCCTGCCTCTGCCTCCCGAGTGCTGGGATTAAAGGCGTGGACCACCACTGCCCGGCTCTAAGTGCTTTCTAACACAGTCCAGGACCACCTGTCCAGGGAATAGTGCTGCCATAAGAACTGGGTCCTCAGTTAACAGACTTGCCCATAAGCCAGTCTGAACTCAATGAGACTCCCTTCTAGGTGACTCTAGGCTGTGTCACGTTGACAGTAAAGCTAACTAGGACAGTGTGTCTATGTCACAATAAAATATAAAGCTGTGGCTAGGCAGTGTGGTGCCCACTTGCAAACCTGACCTGGAGGATGGAGGCAGAGGATCAGGAGTTTCTTTGGATAAAATATATCAGTGTAAAATGGATAATGACTGTATCAATAAAAAATTGTCATTTGGACCACCTTTATTAATTATAGAGATAACAAAATAAGTCTGTGAGTGACATCTCAGCGGTCATACTTCAAATTGTAAATAAATTGGTGTTGAAGCTTAGCTGGGTGTATTGGTTATACCTTTGATTGGGGTACTTGGTAGGTAGAGGCAGGCAGATCTCTGAGTTTGAGGCCAGCCTGGTCTGCATATCGAGTTCTAGGACAACCAGAGCTATGTAGAGACCTTGCCTCAAGAAAAAAAGATGGGCCAGGTGGTGGTGGTGCAGGCCTTTAATCCCAGCAGAGGCAGGCAGATCTCTGTGAGTTTGAGGCCAACCTGTTCTGCAGAGGGAGTTCCAAGATAGGCACCAAAGCTGTAGAGAAATCCTGTCTTAAAAAAAGAAAAGAAAAGAAAAAAGATGTAACTTACTGCAATAAAAGTTGTCATGTCTGTGTCCTGAGGCATAAACCCAGTACATCCGTATGTGGTAGGTTAAGAGAGTATGTACAGTTTCTCTGACAGAATTCCGTACTTCACTCTCCTTTCCTTTCTCAAATTTCATAACATATTTGATCAGAATTGTCTCAAATCATAGCAAGTTTAGTCTGTTCCATCACGGTATTTTCTATCATCCTGTAACCTTTTGTTTGTGTTCTCTTCAGGAAGCTGAGAGCCACGTTAGATGAATATACCACGCGAGTGGGGCAGCAGGCTATCGTTCTCTGTATCTCGCCCTCCAAACCCAACCCGGTCTTCAAGGTGTTTGGAGCAGCGCCTCTGGAGAACGTGGTAAGTCAGATCTCAGCTGTGTTCCCAGAAGCCCTTTGCTTGGTGTAGATTTTTCTCTTTTTATTCCTCTTTCCAGTTCAGTGCTCAGTATTTTCTTCCACCTCTCTAGGGATGGAAAGTGGCGACTGGTTTTCAAACTACTTTATGTAGTAATATGATATTGTGCTCTTTGGACTGATTTGGGAGCCCACCATCCAGCGCCCAAATGAATCACACCCGGAATCTTATTCTTATTTATAAACGTCCGGCCTTAGCTTGCCTTGTTTCTTGCCTGCTTTGCTTTTTTCTTTCTTTGTTGGTTTTTCAAGACAGGGTTTCTCTGTAGCTTTGGAGCCTGTCCTGGAACTAGCTCTTGTAGACCAGGCTGGCCTCAAACTCACAAAGATTCGCCTATCTCTGCCTCCGGAGTGCTGGGATTAAAGGCGTGCGCCACCACCGCCCGGCCTCCCGTTTTCTTACTACCGTAACTCTTACTCTGTGAATTGCTGGGTAACTGGCCCCTGATATCCTCCTCCTTGGGCCACTACTCAGAGTCCCTTTCCAGTTTTCTTCTATATATTCTTTCTGCCTGCTAGCCCCGTCTGTCCTTTCTCCTGCCTCACTATTGGCTGTTCAGACCGTCAGTTGTTCAAGACAGGCAAAGTACCACAGCTTCCCAGAGTTAAACAAATATAAATAAAATAATATTTCCCACAACTTTGTGCAGGTTGAAACCAAAAAGATCAGCACCTTGGCGATAGTCGGAAAGATACCTTATTGCTTGCATTCATTTGTCAATCAAGAACAGAGCAGATGGTAGAACCTTGAATGTAGTTTGATGCTTGACTTGACCAGAGCTGTTTTATGCCTTGTGCACATAGAATGATGATTTTTTAAAAAAATGTTCATTGCTGTTTCTCATTGCTAACTCAAGGTATTGTACCCCACCAGGAGCAGTGAACAAAAGGACAGTATTTGATTTGTTATGAAACCAGTACAGGACTGAGGAGGTAGCCCAGTTGGGAGAGCCCTTGCCCAATATGCGTGAGGTCTTGGATTCCATCCTAAGCACTTTACCCGCTGCCATGGTACAAGTAGTCTCACATCCAGGAGGTGTGGAAACAAGAGGGCCAGGTATTCAAGGTCATTCGTTCTTGGCTACAAATTGAGTTCAAGGCCATCTTGAGCTAAATTAGATACCACTTTTTTAAAAAAAATGTGAAAGTTTTTATTCATATCTGAAACAAAACACTAGATGATTCCAGGATAATGATTTTATGAGTTAAACTGGAAGCATATTATTAATCACATATTTGGGTATATCTTTTAAAAATATCTTTTGCTTTTTTCAAAAAAGTTGGTTTAGTTGGGCATGGTGACGCATGCCTTTATTCCCAGCAGGAGAGGCAGATAGATCTTTGTGGGTTCAAGGCCAGCTTGGTCTACATAATTTTACTCTTGCGTTTTGTTGTTGTTTTTGTTTTGTGTGTGTTTGTGTGTGTGTGGCTTGTAAGTGCATGCCTCGTGCATGTGTGCTCTTGGAGGCCCAATGAAGGCATGAGGTCTCCTGGCACTAGAGTTACAGATAGTTGTAAGCCACCATGTGATGTGGGTGCTGGAGGTTGAACACAGGTCATCATTCTTAACCACTGAGCCATCTTTCCACACCCCCTAATTTAAGCAAGGAAGGAAGGAAATATTTTCCACTTGCATTTTCCCTCGATGTGTGTACAATGAGTACAAGAGTTCCTTCTTCCCTAGGAACAGATGTGAATCTGTCTGCCGACATAAACTCCTAAAGGGGAGTGGTGTGAGAGCTGGGCCTAGGCGGTGATGCGGCTGAATTGCTGGGACTGTGCTTTGAGGGCAGCTGGCTCTGTGTGGACCATGGACTTTCTTGAGCTTTTTAGAAATAGCCTAAAATATTTTCTTGAATAACATAGTAAAAACTTCCCAAGAACTCCAGGGCTTCTGAAGGTAGAACTCTTTAGTCAGAGCCAGGCGCCTGGAGCATTTAGCTGAGCCCACTGAAGACAAGCCACTCAATCAGAAAGGGCCGAGGTAGCTCTGGAATGATCACCAGCTGCCTACCTTTATTTCCTTCCTCTTCCTGATAGATAAGTGGACTGTGTCCTTCATTTGGTTATGTAGGTTTTAGAAAGTGGTTTCACTTATAAAATGTAGAAAAATGTTTTAAAAGTATAGCTGGGGAAATTGCTCCTTTGGTGAATCACTTTAGCATGCAAGCCTGGGGGCCTTATTTGAATCCTCAGAATTCAAGCTGGGTGTGTGTGGTAGCCTGCGTCTGTGATCCCACTGCTCCTGCAGAGAGATAAGAGACTGAGACTGCTGAGTCCTGATCTGTGTGTGGACCCACACTCACATATAAGTGCTTTAATTTTCAAGTCTTGACACCAGATATCTGTGCTACTGATACAGCTCCGTGGATAAAGGCTCTTGCTGACAAGCCCAATGACTTGAGTTCAGTACCTGGAATCCACATGGTGGAGGGGGAAGTCCATTTCTACATGCTGTCCTCTGACCTTCACACACAGTGCCGTAGCACGTGCATATAGAGAGGCAGGAGAAAATGAATACAAAATCTTGCTGTAAAACAAACGAGTTGGTGGGGGAGCTGGAGCAGGCTCCTGGTCATCCAGAGTCCAGTGTGAGGCCTGCTCCGTGCTCGGGCAGCTCTCAGTCACACCCCAGATACTTGCAGTCTCAGTGCTTCTGTGTACAGTTTTAAAAAGATCTCTATAGAACTTTCCAAAGACTACTCCTGTCCAGAGTTCTTCAGAAATACAGAAGAATCACAGTGTATTCTTCAAGGTTGTTTATTTGCAACCTGACTAACGGCCAGTTTCTAAATTTTCAACAGTAAATCTGTACAAAACTGTAATGATTTGTGTAAACACCCTAAACCTAACCTTCCACCCCTGGTATTCATGAGAATATGTGGTAATGTACCTTCCTGTGTATCTGAATACATGAAATATTTCATGATACGTGTTAAAAAAGACTGCTCAACAGATCATGTAGTCATTGTGCACACTGTATTCTGGGAACAATACTATAAATGACACATAATTATTTGAGACCAGAAATTTAAAGCTGGAAGGTAAAGACAGGAACACTTGAGAAGTTCTTTCAGAACAAATGTGGAAATTGAGTTGGACTTTGAAAAATGGACAATATTTGGATAAGAAGCAGAAAAGAACTTGCTAGAAGCAAAAACTAGTGAGGAGGCTGGCCCGCAGTTTTAGGTGCACTGAGATTTTAGAGGACTGGAAGATGAGGTTTGTAAGTAGGGGTGGGGATACATCTCAGAATTGAGCGATCAGACGGAATTGAAATACCAGCTTTATGATTCTCAGAAATCTACTTTACCAAGCAAGCTTAGATGGGAGGGCTGTGTTCACCTGGAATTGCTTTGTTGCAAATTACTCTAAAACATACTCCATTGGCATTTTTAAATGAGCATTGTCAAGGAATTATACAGCATTGTTAAGTTTAGCAAAATACCAGAATATGGCTTTTCCTGATCCATAAAATTGGCTGAAATTAGCAGGCAGTGATGGCGCACGTCTTTAATCCCAGCACTTGGGAGGCAAAGGCAAGTGGATCCCTGTGAGTTCAAGGCCAGCCTGGTCTACAGAGGGAGTTCGAGGATAGCCAGGGCTACACAGAGAAATCCTATCTCAACCTCCCCCACCCAAAAGACTGAAACTATTTGATACTGACTAATGTAATAATAATAATAACCCAGTATTTTCTCATCTTCGAATGCCAGGTATTGCCAGCACAATCAAAGGTGTTTTTATACCATTTTCATTCCTCCTATGGGCCTGCACGCATAAATTCAACTTGATACACTAAATTTAAAAAGTCCAGACTTGGAAGAGTCAGACTTTATTCCATGCCCCAATCCCCTTTTGGATTAGAAGCCTATATATTGCCAGTGCATATGCCATAATAAACATACTGATGATGCATTTGAAACTTTTTTGTTTTACTATAAAACTGAATTAGTTGGGTTATAATTTTTTTGGTGTGTATGTGTGTGTGTTTTGGTTTTTGTTTTGTTTTTTGAGGCAGGGTTTCTTGGTTTCTCTGTGTAGCCCTAGCTGTCTGGAACTCGCTCTGTAGACCGGGCTGGCCTCAAACTCACCTGCCTCTGCCTCCCAAGTGCTGGGATTAAAGGTGTGCACCACCGTTAGCCAGCATGCCTCTTCTTCTTGCTCTCTGCACTGTCTCTGCAGGAGGATCTGCTGTCTTGAGATAACCGTTCACTACACTGGTGAAGAATAGAGTCAGGGAACAACACTGATTCAGAACTGCACTGTCACGCAGTGAGGCACATGGCTTTGGAGTTCACCACTGTCTCCGGGGAGTACCTGAAGGGAGGAGAGGTTGACCAGTGGGGCTCCCTAGCCTCAGGCCTTACTAGTAATGGTACTTTTGGCACTGAGATGTATTATCCATCTCTTGCTTTGTCTGATTCTTTTCAGTCCAGCCTCTTAAGCACTTAGATCTCCTGTCCATGTGGTACCTGGCATTCTCAAACAATAGCAGCAGTTTCACATACATTAAGAGTTTAGAGACGTAAGTTCTCAGATCTGGAAAACGATTTTGACAGTGAACTGTCATATTTGATGTGACCTGTACAACTGGCCTGGGAAATGCAGAGTAATGAATATTATTTACATTGTACCTGGAACAAGTGATGGATCTCTGTGGATTGAGAAAACATGACTTTTAAGTTCTATAGAACTTTTTTACTGGCTCCTTCCTATTGTTGTTAACCTAAAATTTCATCATCTTTTTATTTGATTCTGTTCAGTGGTGTCTTTGGGGCCAATGGGTATTTTCACCTTCTACTTGGAGGAGTGTTTGTTCTTGGGGCTCTGTGGTGGCTAAGGGACACCAGCCCAACCACTTTCTTGTTGCTTAGCACCAGCCCTCCCTGGCTGTTGAGCATCTTGTTTATTTCTGCTCCTAATTCCCTGCAGGTGCGAAAGTACAAGAGCATGATCCTGGAAGACTTGGAGTCTGCTCTGGCAGAGCACGCCCCTGCGCCACAGGAGGTTAATTCAGAGCTGCCACCTCTCACCATAGACGGGATTCCTGTCTCTGTGGACAAAATGACCCAGGTACAGGGCGGGAAGTGAGGAGGAGATGCAAAGACAAGAGATGCAGTCATGGGCGGGCCTCTTTTCACTTTTCTAGCTTTGTCTTGGGTAGTGTGGTCACACACAGACATACACTAGAATGTGTGGCAGCCTTGGAGAAGACAGAGTCCCAGGGGGCCCCTCCTGACCGAGCACATACATGCCCCCTCCTTTCTACTGACCACCCTCTCTGGGGTCTCTGTGCTAGGGAAGGAAGCTTTCTGCTTGGGAATGGTTTGACCTAGAAACTCTTAGACAGTTCAGGTGTCAAGGGAGATGAGTGTAAGAGGCTGGGCTGCACCTTCACCCTCCAAACAGGCTTTTGAGTCAGGGTCCCTCTATGTAGCCCTGACTGAACTGGAACTTGCTATGGAGACCTTGCTGACCTCAAATTCAAAGCAGCTGTCTCAAGTGCTGGGACTAATGGCATGTGCCACCACACTTGACGTTTTCACTAACTTTTGGTTTTGGTCTGTTTCTCCATGTACAATTTTAGAGCAATAACTTTAATTTTTTTACTGCTGTTCAGTTCAGATGTCCAGCACCTAAAATCTCAGGCCATCTGAACAATAGTACCTGTTTAGGAAATGACCTAAGACTATTGGAACAAAACTGAGTTCAATAATGTCGTGGTCAGCTGGTTCCATGAATAGGTCTGAGCTTGGGTAACATTGCATTTTATAAATAGAAAGCTGAGACCCTGTCTAAAGAAAATAATATTAAACCTGAACTGTGACCTTTCTGTGGACATAAAGAGTATTTCAGTAATGGCTTAGAAAGAAAGGCATATTCCTAGGTTTTCATAGTTGGTGTTACATTCTTTTGCTGGTTCCATTGTGCATGGTTACCTTTAAGAATCTGCTCTCTCAGCCATGAAATACATGTAAAACCAGCTTTTCCTCTGGTGTAGGATACTAGTGTAGAACCGTTTTCTGCGTGGGTTTTTCTCCCTTACTGCCATGTTTGATGTGTTAGTTGAAATAGTCCAAGGTTTTGATGGTAATGAACATGCCTAAATGCTGATTTTCATAAAGAACATTCAATATCACAGAAGTTAGAGCAAACAGCTACTGTTTGAAAGGAAAACATTGGAACCTCAGTGTGCTCCATTCCATGCCACACGCTCGGTAGATAGATCATGGCACAGTGACAGAGCCAAGGAAAGATGGTGCTTTGTCATAAGCCTGCGTGTGCTGTGCCTCTCGCTACAGACGACGACAGGAAACAAACATAACAGATAGCTGGGTGACTCGACATTCTAAAGGAGCTGGGGAGTCCACATGGTGGACAGAGAGAACTGACCTCCAGAGTTGTCTTCTGCCCCCACAGTAAATAAACAGTAATTACAGTGTGAGGAGGAATAAGTAGGGTGATAAAAGACCAGTCCTAATTGGATGGAAATCTCTAAGTATTCAGAAACTGGCATTTTCTTCCTCTACCTTTTATTGCTTTCCTTTCCTCATATACATTCATCTGAAGCTGAGCCAAATATCTCTCAGTTTTAAATGATCTAAAAGCCTTTCCCGTTTAATAGTAGTAATGAAAGAGTGTTTAATTTCAAACCAAGCCTGAATAGATAGACAAGAGCCATGTTTGGGAAAAGTACTTCTACGTACTGCCCCTGCGAGTGTAAGCTGGCATGAACAGAGCAGTGCAGAGTGAAGGTTAAAGTGTGCGTGTCCAGCCTGCTCTACAGAGCTAGTGCCAGGACAGGCTCCAAAGCCACAGAGAAACCCTGTCTCGAAAAACCAAAAAATAAATTAATAAATAAAGTGTGCGTGTCCAGGATTGGACAGATGGCTCAGCATTTAATCTGAATTTGCTTCTCAGCTCCTGTGTTGGGTAGCTTGCAACTGCCTATAACTGCAGTTCCAGCAGACCTGACAGCTCGTGCATGTAATTGAAAATAAAAATATAAATAATCTTTAAAAGGTATGTGGTTTGCTCTCTAGTAAAGCTGGGGTGATTGTTTACTGTTTGTGGCAGCATTGTTTACATTAGGAAAGTTTGAGAATATATAACTTAACTAGTGGGTTAAATTATAATAGGAATGCCAACTGCTTACACGGGAGGAGGCATGCCATGACGCAAAGATGACTGTTCTATACCGTTCAGTGACCTAGTAGGTACGAAAAAGAGTGCTCTGTATTTGGAGTAGAGTAGTACCTGGGATGTATAACAAGCAACTTGTAAAACTGCATTTCTCATGTACTTAATTATAAGAGGTTAGGTTATTGTTTTTTTCACTTCTTTTCAAAGGGTAGACTTTTGTTTTTTTAATTCAGAGAACACAAAGTTAGAGTTGGTTGACCTTATTTTCTAAAACATGTATACAAAACATGCCCAGGTGTGTGCACTAAAGTTTATAAGAATGTACCTCAAACTATAGTGATTACTATTGCATGATGACATCATGAATGATTTTCATTATCTTTGTAGATAGATAAACACCAATTATTAATTTTGTGATTTTTTTTTCCTTATGGGTTGTTTTTATACTCACAAATCAATTTTTTTTTGTTTTCATCATAAGCTTGAATTTTTTTTTAGGGTGCAAGTTTGATAATATTTCTGCTCTGTTTTGACCAAAGAACACTTTTCTTCTTTATATTGGAACAAAAAATGGCAAGAACTCTTTTTACCAGCTTGGATTTCTTTAGAACTACCAAGTGTTGGAAGGCACACTATTAAATTATTCATTTATTTTGTGTATGTGTGTGTGTGTGTGTGAGAGAGAGAGAGAGAGAGAGAGAGAGAGAGAGAGAGAGAACTATAGGCAAGAAAGCAGAATTCATATATGACTATAGCCAAAAAAAAAAAAAATACAAGTATGGCCTGGATTTCAGACTCTGTGGGTAATTTATGACTTCCTTAAATTGGTTTATGTTTTGTTTTGAGATATGGCCTCCTTATATAGCTCTCCTCTGCCTCCCAATTGTTGGAATTAAAGGTATGTGCCACCATAACCAGAATGTCTTGAACTTTTTGAGTTCAAGCAGTTCTGCCTCCGTCTGCCAGGTAGCAGAGACTCTAGTTGTGTGCTGCTGCGTATGCCTTGTTTTTCAGGACCTTGGAGTGTTGTGTTAATAAATTGTTGTAGGTATTCAGTCAGACCAGGGTCTAGAGAGTGGGCTTCGTCTATGCTCAGACATTGCCCTGCATCTTGTCAGATGCCTGCTGAGGTTGGAACGAGGCCTGGGGCCTAGCTCCAGCTGATGCTAGCCAGTGCTGCTAGTTCTCAGCTGCACTCTGAGCCTGAGAATTACATTGTTCCTGAAGGGTTTTTATCACTTAAAACAGTCTTCTTGGTGGTTGGGGGGAGGGGAATGACACAGCCTTTGACCCCAGCACTTGGGAGACGGGGAAGTGGATCTCTTAATTTGAGGATAGCCTGGTCTACACAGTGAGTTCTAAGCTAACCAGAGCTCTGTAGTGCGTCAGGGGAGAGGAGAGAAAGAGACAGTTTCCTGTGCCCAGGTGAGTACGAAAAGGCTCTTAGACTGTAGAGGTTGGACATTTTTGAGAGAGCTGTTTGAAAAGATAGAGGTAAAGAGTGTATTATAGGTGGAATTATAGAAAACTCCTCATCCCTGGAAAGCCTGCAGTATCAATGGTTCATTCTCCTCCTCTTTCCCTTGGCTCTCCTGCCCCTTGAACTTGCTGTCTTCCTCTATCCTCACTGGGCCATCTCCCTTGCATTAGTAAGTAGTCCCTGGGAGTGGTGATGCAACCGGGCAGTAATTCACGAGTTTCAGGAAAGCCTTCGAAATAGTCCACTCTGCAGCTGCTTCATTAGGAAGACACTCACAAACTCTGTTCATTTTCCTTAGAGAACTGTCAGTCTATTGTCAGTCTGGGTTTTTTTGAAGGTTTTTTGTTTGTTTCCATGAAACGCAGGTCAGGTCTTTCCTACACAAAGAGCAGAAAACATTATGTTACATGAAGTAAAGGAAATGAGCATAAGACCTCACAAAAGTGAGTGTTCTCCAATAGGTAAAGCCGTGGAGATAAAAAGTAAAGGTTACCAGGGACCGGGGGAATCCAAATGCAGTTAAAGTTTTAACATAGTTTCTATTTGGGATGATGATGAAAATAATTCTGGAAATAGTGATGAGATTACACATGGTGAGTGCTCAAATGTCCGTGAATTGTGCATGTCAGCGCAGTAGATTTTGTGTTGTAAAGAAAGCGATTTAAAGGAGAGGAAGGGGCAGCTGGACTAAAGTGTGTTCTAGTTTGGTCTTCAAGGATGGCTTCACACTCACCTGGGGGATTTAAAACCTCAGTGTGCGGTTCACACTCCAGGCCAGCTAAGTCTGAATCTTTGTGGATGGATTTATTTATTTATTTATCTTTCCTAAACAGGGTTTCCCTGTAGCTTTGGAGCCTGTCCTGGAACTCACTCTGTAGACCAGGCTGGCCTCAAACTCACACTCACATAGATCCGCCTGCCTCAACCTCCCAAATGCTGGGATTAAAGGTGCACACCAACACCCGGCTAGCTGTAGTTTTAAACCCTCAGATTTTGTATTATTCACTGTTATAAACAGTAGTTCCAAACTGCCTCTCCATTAAAAGCAGACTTCCTTTTTTGTGGGTAGGGTGTCTTATAACTCAGGCAGGTTGACTTTGAACTCCTGGTCCTCCTGTCTATGACTCCCAAATACTTGGTTTACAGACATATGCTGCCACACTCAGTGAGGTTTTCCTACTGTCTGAAGTTTTCAGAGTATGAATGTGTAATATGCCATGCTTTGTAAATTAATTAGGTAGAAGGGATATAGCTTGATGATAGATACATGCCTAACATGCACCATACCCTAGCTCATGCTTCAGTGCCACTGGAAGGAAGGATGGAGGAGGGAAAGGAAAGGAAGAAAGAAAACATCTTCCTTTATGGCCTTCACCTGGCTAGGGAGATTGTATAAGGGCTTGTCACACAAGTATGAGGTCCTAAATTCAAATAGCCAGAATGCACGTGC